TGAATAATCAGTAATGTAATTTATTTAATTTATTTTAGATGTAGATTATATACTATGTATAACTTGAATTATACACCAACAATTTTGGGGGTACAAAGTTGAAGAGAAATTATATCTGGGGGTACGCGAACAAAAAAGGTTGAATACCACTGGTTTATATCACAGGTGACAAATTGGTGTAGATACGTTTACAAGTTATAAGAATCATGTATCACCCACAGAGCGGGTATTACTATTCTCGAAGTCATTTACTATACGGAATAGTGCATGTTTATGAATTGTATTTAATTATTTAATTTTCTGTTTTCGAGCAGACTGTTACTCACTTGGCGTAATGCACAGGCCTTTACGATTATTCTGTTCTCGAGCAGACAGTTACTCACCTGGCGTAATGCACAGGCCTTTACGATTACAGTGTTTTTTTTTCAGGCACATGAGTGCAACATACTCTCTGGCTTGGCCGTTCCTCGCCGTGTATGTCTTTATCGTTGCAATTGATGAGAACGTTCTCCGTTTATATCCTTCGTCTAGAGAGTGGAGAATCATGTACCTTGTTTAGAAGTATATCTTGTTCTCTGTGTATGACGATAAAATGATGTACATGCAGTTTATAGGACGCTAACAAGTGTAGTTTTTCAGTTAATGTTCCGTTGTCTCGAATGACATTGGTATGATATATCCCTATAAATGGTGGTGTTATTGTGATATCATAGCGCCGTGTTTAAAATGAATGCTGTTATGTTGATAAGGAAATGTAGTTCGTGATAATACGGAGCTTTACAAAGTTATGTTAGAGTAAACATTGACTGACCATGAATTTCTCGAGAAGAATTCGGCTGCATGGAAGTACAGTTATCGTAAAATAATTTCTTACGAACCCGACACGAAGTTGATGGGGATTGGCAGGAAGCGAGTTGCCACTGTTAGTGTAAGCGTCTACGAAATAGAGTAGACCTAATTTGAATTCGTCCAGCTTCACGTGATAGGGTTCCAATTAAATCTATACACGCCGCACGGAGTTTCAGTGAATTGTGTTGTATATTTGCCTACATTTAAAGTTGGTGGTGTTTTGGAATAGTGATCACTTTCGATGAAATGAAATTGGTGATGACGCCCATTATGGTTTCACCGAAGTGGCGCGTGTTCAGAATCAGCGTGACACAGACCTGGCGTTGCCGTCAGTGATATAACAGAGTTCGCCGATCCCCTCCCTCCACCATAAGGTGTGATAATGGATCATCGTAGTCTGAATTGTATCGGGCGGGTTTCCAGCCAGCAGCACAGCAACGGAGTGGATGCCACTGACACCAGCAGTAGCAAGCGACGTCCTCACAGCTGGCACAGTTCCACCCAGACGCTGAGTCGCGTCGGTACGTATTTATGCGTCGCCCATCCGCCCGCATCCTTCAAACTTTTCTGCATTTCGAGGATACTTCCCTTCTTTCTATTAAAGTATCTTTGTCGTCCTTTTCTGACTTCAGAAGAAGATTCCACGAATGTGAGATATCAGGTTTTCACGACGACGAACACGAAGATGGCTGCCTTCTGTGATGTTTCTCCGCGTTGTCTGGCAAATACTGACCGACTTCCTGATGATGAAGGCAGTGAGCATCTTTGAAACGTTGGTCTAAGACAGTGGTATTCAACCCTTTTTATTAGCGTACCCCCAGATATAATTTCTCTTCAACTTTGTACCCCCAAAGTTGTTGGTGTATAATTCAAGTTATACGTAGTATATAATCTACATCTAAAATAAATTAAATAAATTACATTACTGATTATTCAGTGTTTATCATAAAATAATAATTTTTTTAAATTTTACGTACCCCCTAAGATGTCTTC